TATTTTCTGATACATATAGACGTACTTGTCCTTATGTTGTGTATAAAGTTTGAGTTAATTTTTTTTTATTTTTCTAAGAGCGTGGGAATATTTTTGGATTCTTTTTATTTAATTGTTGGAATTTTTTTGTATTTTTTTTCATGAGTGTGGGAATATTTTTTGATTACTTTATTTTATTTTTGGAATTTTTTCTGATTTTTTTCGAGAGCGTAGAAATATTTTTGAATTTTTATTTAATTTTTGAAATTTTTTGTACTTTTTTATGAGTGTAGGAGTATTTTTGAATTTTTTAATTTTATTTTTGGAATTAAAAAAAAATTTTCATTAGTGTGGAAATTTATTCAGATTTTTTTTATTTAATTTTTGGAATTTATTCTGATTTTTTCTCCGAGCATGGAAATATTTTCAGAATAGTTTTATTATATTTTTCGATTTTTTCTGATTTTTTGGCAGTGTGGGAATATTTTCAGATTATTTTATTTTTGTTTTTCAAAATTTTTCTGATTTTTTCAGAAAGCATGGGAATATTTTTAGCTTTCTTAAATTTAATTTTTGTATTTTTTGAATTTTTTTATTATGAGTGTCATAATATTTTGATTATTTTTGTTATATTTTTGGAATTTTTTCGGATTTTTTTACGAGATCATGGAAATATTTTTGAATTATTTTATTTTTATTTTTGGAATTTTTTCTGAATTTTTTCCAACAGTGGGAATATTTTTGGATTTTTTTTAGAACTAAGAACCCTGTCACGAAACACTCTCATTATTTCATACTCAATCCCTCTAGGACGTTGAGAGCTACGACCCAATCCTGAACCCTGTCCTATCCTAGACGACAACAGGTATCCCCAATTCTAATTATACATGTAGCAACTTCTAATTATAGTAACAACACATCTAAATATAGTAACAACTATTACATGATGTAATCATTAATGTATTTATTTTTAGAATTATCACTAATAATAGTAACAATACATCTAATTATAGTAACAATTATTACATGATGTAATCTTTGTTGTGTCTATTTTTAGAATCATTACTGAGCTTGAGACTCTTAAGGAAGAGGCTGCAGAAGTTCAGAGGAAGATGGAGGAGACTGATACTGTAATGGCTGAAGCTGACAGAGTCTCCCAGCAATACCTGCCTCTCTCCACCTCCTGCTCTGCCATGTACTTCACTCTGGAGTCACTCAATCAGGTAATTGAAATTATGTGACTGTCGTGTGATTTAGCGCTACTTTATTGGCCTCGCCTACGCGAGGTATAGGTAGTTGTTGTGTGTGTCTGTCATTCATTCATTCATTCATTCTGTACAACTGAAATTTGTTTTTAATAAACAATAACTTTAGCACAGCGTGTTCTAAACTCCTAGATCTTTCTTTTTGATGTGGAAAAGTCTTTATTAACTGTTTTGTGTTGCTCAAATACAAGTGCTAGGTACAGAAGCTTCAAAGTAAGAAAATCGAGTAGTTGGGCCAAGTTCCGTTGTGTTGGCACTTTAGAGATAGCTGGTAGCATTTTTCAGTAGATTAGAACTTGGCCTTCAAAAATTATGAACAGATTTCTCTAAATCTTACTTGATGAAGAGTTATACTTACTTGAAATTGTTGAGGTCACTCGTTTGTGAAGCGCTAGAGCAACAACTTGCTGGGTTATAGGTACTAAAGTACCTATACTATCTCAAATATACAAAGGCAGCAACTTTTTTGTCAGCAAGTTTATCATATATTGCTGATTAGTAAAGAAAAAGTGAAGCTTCTTTCTCACATGGTCTTCTTGCTGCCACAGTGCCACTCATTCCAGTCATGCCACACCTTTCAATCTACATGCATGGGAGGGGCTGGAGCTGCTTGCATGTATGTGCTGCAGTGCTGCTACTTCTGCAGGTATTCAAGAGCAAGTGCAACTGTAGGAAGCTAGTGTTGAGCAGACTCTCTTCATGCTGATAATCAAACAGTTATTGAAGTGCGGGCATGCACCATAGCAGCTATAGGGGCGAGGCCATGCACCGTAGGTGTCTCGTTTTGATGGTTTTGCTTGATAAATACATTAGGCCAGCTTTTAATTGGCAAATTTGTCCACGCATGTATTACTAAACGTTTCACTATTGAAAATTTTGATTGCAAAATGCCAAAAAATTAATGTAAAAATGCCAAAAAAATTAATGTAAAAATCCCTGTACATGTACATTTACATGTACATGTGTAATGTCAGTAATAAGTAATAGTTAATACATGGGGCGGCGTGTTCTATCTGATTTATCTGCACGAGCTTCCAGTCGAGTCGCTAAAAATAGCGCACAAGGCCGAAGGCCGAGTGTGCTATTTTAGCGACGAGACTGGAAGCGAGTGCGGATAAATCAAATAGCACGCGAGTGCGGATAAATCAAATAGCACACGACGCCACATGTATTAATTGTTTTAGTGTATAGTTCCAGCAAAGATTGCACGTGCTCTGCTATCACTGATATCACACTGCTGCACATTAAACAAATGAGTGTGCTATTTATAATTATCACACTGTGGTATTGGTGGGAGTGTTCTGTAGGTTTTATCACAACTGTTAGGCCTTTGATCTTTGCTGCAACTATACATTAATGACATGTTAATGACGTTAATGATATTATGACATGTACATGTCATAGTATCAGTGTATGGTATTAATGTTATATTAATATTTACAATAAGACATTATACAAGTACACATCAATGTACATGTATTACAGTACATGTAGTATGTTTAATTATTTTTAATCTCTTCCTCTAGACTGGTAGTCTCCAGATGAAGATTGTTGCTGAAGATAAACTAGTTGAAGAGAGGACGGCTGAGCTCTTTCAGGAATGGGAGAGAAAGAAACTAATACATGTAAGGGATAAAGGAACAGGTTACATGTACATGTAGACCTACTAGATGTTACGTACATTGTATACATGTACATTACATCATTAGTAAAATGATGAGAATTCAGTGACTGATATAACATACTGTGATATTTATTTACCACAATTCTCTGATTACTAAAGTACTTCTGTATATGGAATTTAGTGATGCATATACATGTTTTTGTGTTGTGTAGAAAGTCTGAGCTGATTCTGATTAAATTTGGATTTTTATGAATTTTTAAAGTTGCTCAAAATTGGGTCAAAGTCTCTGTAATACAAGGGTGTTGGCCAAATTTCGCCAAAAATGTCAAGTAGAGAATTCTCAATTTTTATAACATTTTCTGATGCATATACATGTTCTTATTTTGTGTAAAAAGTTTGAGCTGATTCTGATCAAAATTTGGTTCTATACGAATTTTTAAAGTTGCTAAAATCAGTTCANAGTCCCTGTACTATGGTAATGTGGCGTCAGCCAAATTTTGCTAAAAATGTCAAGTAGAGAATTCTCAATTTTTATAACACTTTTCTATACATATA